CACACACTTATCGGCCCCAAACTTAGGGGCCAAGGCAGGAGAATGAGAAGTTTAAAGTCAGTCCAAAACAAATAGAAACCAAAACCAATCAAAGTCTTATTTTAAGGCAGAAAGGAACTTATAATTGTGGTGGTGGTTGCAGTCCAGGATGTGGACGGAGTTCTGGGAAGACCCTCCTGTCCTGCACAGGACATTACACAGGATGTCAGGTGCCAGGTATGGATTTGTAGATGTTGGACTGATAAGGAAGCAAAAACAAAACTAAACAAAACAAAAAAAACCCCTTTTCTTAAAAGCTGATTATGGGGGTGTTATAGTATTATAGTACTATATTTTTATTTCTTTGTGGAGAGGGGGTGATGGTCAGCTTATATACAATCTTATTCATTTGTTTGTCTGCCCAAGAAAATCCACCAGGATTGAACAGTTATGACATAGGAGTCATTGTGTGGGAGGAACAAGGGGTTAAGCCCAGCTCTCTGAATGCAAACCCTGTTCTTCTGCTTAGTAGCTGTGTGGCGTCGAGGGAGCCTCTCTGTGGTAAAAGTTCCTCTTCTCTGGAATAGATAAAAATTAATATTTTTCTAAGATTAAACACTTTGAACACTTATGAAACTTATTTTAGTGTAAAACCTTTAAAATTATCCCCCCTTTGGCTTAGGAAGGATGGTGATGGAGATGGTGATTAGAACCCAGTTCAAATCCTGCTCCCAGCTTTAGTTCAACAATAGTAGGAGGATGACCAAAATTCCTTTCCTAAAGGACTGGAGGTGGACATGAGGTAAAGTATGTGTTGTTCTATGTTTGGCATGTAATTTTATTTTTAGAAATATTCTTCTTTTCCCCCCTCTATTCCCCTGTATCACTGCGGGGGGGGGGGGGTCTCATCAAATGTCTAGACACTGAGATAAGAGGCAGGGTAGTTACTGTCCTCAAAAGGCTCAGAGGCCTCAGGAAAGACCTGGACATACACAATGACACTGTGCTATGATGAGAACCATCACTGGGACAACAGCACAAGGTGTTTGTGTGTTGGGATCAAAGCAATAGAAAGACCAGTCAACAGAATACACAAAGGGAGCCATCCCTTGGGAGGCAATGGAATTTGGGGGGAGAATTTTGCTGGGCTGACCAAAGTACTGAGGAGGGAGGGGCATCTCTGTTACCTAGGGGACATGCTGACATGCGGTCATCAAGAGAGGCACTATCTTTGCTTGGAGTCACATTCTCTTTTTCCATGCCAAGACCCATGGAGGCCTAAGCAGAATGCCCCCATTGTACATGCTGTCCATGTGGAGGATGGACAGTGGATACAGGGTGAAGGTGACACTTGGTCAACCTACAGTGGCATGTGTACATCTTGAGGAGGAAAGAAAAGCCCCTAACAGCAGGACCAACCAGAATGGCTTTTGACGAAGCAGGGCATTGTGCCACTCCCGAGAAAGGAAGAAGGGAGATGTCACACGCTTGTGGTGTCTGCTTCAACAGTAGCTGCATACAGGCTACCACCTTGATCAGAAGAAGTCCCTGAATTCCTGGGCAGGAATCCTGCATCCAAGATTACGGTAGTATAAGAGTCGGAGTTTTTGTAAGGGCTGTGGAACACAGACGCCTGCAGAACTTCCTCTTAACCACTAGCTAACAGACTCAGATTTGAAACCAGGAAACCAGATCCAAAACTGACCCCCAGCACTACCCAGCAGTGATAGTTTCTTCCCCAGGCATATGAAAAGGGCTTCCATGAGCCAGGTGGCAGTGGCTTGTTCCTTTAATCCAGAGGCAGAGGCAGGCAGATCTCTGTGAGTTCCAGGTCTACAGAGTGAATTCCAGGGCAGCCAGGGCAACATAGAGAAATTGTCTCAAAAACAAAACAAAATTAAAATTAATAAATTAAAAGAAAAAGGGCCTTCAGGTGTGTGTAGCTATGTGCTTGGAGTGTGAGCATGGACACCTATACACATGGCATGTGTGTTGTCTGCATGTGTACTTGATTGTGAATGCATGAGTTATGAGTAATAGATGGTTGTGTATATTTGTATCCTGTGTACATGTGTACACACAGTGTACAATGTGTATTGTACATATGTGCAAGATATATGGCATGCATGTTTATGTGCATGTTCCTTATGTGTCACATGTATTTGTGTGGTTGTCTGAACCATGCAGGACTTGTGTATATGTATAGTGTGTGCCTGTGTTTGTGGACATGTGTGCTGTGTATGTACATATGGATGTGTGGCTGAGTGAGAGGGAAGAGCTCAGAGACCCTCTTCTCCAGAGCCTAGGTACAGGAGTTATTCCATGGAAGGGAAGCAGGCCAGTGGGGATAGCAAAGTCACTCTAGCCCTATTTGCCTCCTGCATGGAGATCACAGATCTGGCCGAATGAGCACTAAAGTTGTGAATTCCTCCTCTTCCCAAATATTCCGTCCCCAGGTCTCCTATCCCAGAATTCTGATGCACCACCCACAGGGATATCTGTCTCCTCAGGGTCCTTCATTCATTGTATCTGCTCTCAGAAATGTCTTGAAACCCTTTATATCCCATAGTAAGGGAAGACAGAGGGCTGACTGTCACCGTGATGTTTAGAAAGTCGGTGTCGAGTCCTGCGGACCCTGCATACCCAGGCAGCCACAGGAGCAGAATCCCAGCCCTATCTCAGGGTCTTGAAAGAGGTCTTGTCTTAGTCAGGGTTTCTATCGTTGTAACACAACACCATGACCAAAAAAGCAAGTTGGGGAAGAAAGGGGTTTTCAGCTTACACTTCCACCTTGCTGTTAATCACTGAAGGAAGTCAGGACAGGAACTCAAACAGGGCAGGAACCTGGAGGCAGGAGCTCATGGAGAGACCATGGAGGAGTGCTGCTTACTGGCTTGCTTCACACAGCTTGCCCAGCCTGCTTTCTTATAGAACCCAGGACAACCAGCCGAGGGACGGCACCACCCACCACTGGCTGGATCCTCCCCCATTGACCGCTAATTGAGAAATGTCTTATAGCTGGATCTTGTGGAAGTATTTCCTCAACTGAGGCTCCTTCTTCTTTGATGGCTCTAACTGTGTCAAACTGACACACAGATCCAGCCAGTGCAGACCTCTTGAAACAAGGCTAAAGACGACAAGACCCCATGGGACATCCAGCTAACTACTGCCCAGCTGTGCTGCCTTGGGCAAGCCCTGGCCTCTCTCATCACTTAGGAAATGGAGCCTGTTGTAATCACAAACCTCATTCAGTGCCCCCAAGAAAGTTAAGGCACAATATTTAAAAAGGCAGCATCAAAGGTTTATAAGTGTCCAGGAGTTAGTGGAAGGCTTGGGTGCTTCTGGGAGGGAGAATGGGTGGAAATAATGGAGCCTCTTGTCTAGGGAAGCCGCCCCCTTTACCACCCTTCCCTTCCCTCCACCACCAGGGAGAGAAGGGGCTGGGACACTTGTTAAGTTTCTAGAGGTAGAGAGGAGGAGCTGTCCCTGCCAGAAGTCCTGTAACTCCTCCCAACATCTGAGCACATAGTCCTTTCTAAACACCCATACACATGCAAATCAGAAACTACACCATTCATACCTAACACCAAGGACATGCATATGCAGAGCATACAGCCCATCATAGGCACTTTTCCACTTATGACACATCCCAGCAGCCGCAGTACATCACCCGCAGGCAGTCTCACGAATTCAAGAGTTTGGCACAAGTGCCCGTTCGCATATAAACAGTTCACGTCCTACACAGCTCCAGCACGACACTGCACTCACACTTGCTCAAGTGCCCAGGCTGCACAGCCCCTTCTTTCTCTAGCCCATCTCACACGCCCAGGCGTCCCTCACTTCTTTGCACAAGATTGCACATAAACACAATGTTTTTACTACTTTCCATCTCTTCCACAAGCCGGCACAACCGGCCACATTTGTGCTCTCCCCTTCTCCCCCACAACTCCAGCAAGAGGCTTCCCGCTTGGTGTGCAGCGGCCACAGTGGCCAGGAATTAAAATGCAGCAAGGAGGAGCCGGGAGCGTCAGCACCGCCTCTCCAGGAGCGCACAGCGCTCGCTGCGGCCGCCGCCGCCCCGCCCGCCCGGAGTCGTGGGGCCAGCCAGCGCTGTAGCAGGTGCTCAGAGCCCAGCCGCGCCAGCCTCGCGCGGCTGCTGCCCAAGTTCGCCCGGGGCCCGAGGAGGGCCGGGCCATCGATAGAGGAGCGCAGCCGCGGCCGTTATCACTGCCACCGCCATCGTGGACTTGGAGTCTTGTGAGGAGATCGGCCCACGGAGCAGCGAGCTCGGAACAGCAGCGAGTCCGGATTAGCCCCAGGAGGTGTTGCCTGGGCTCCGCAGATCCCAGCTCCCGGCGCCTGGGGAGGAGAAGAGGCAAGGAGCAGCGCAGCTGAGCTTTTCTGGAGACTGTCCATACCGAGAGGAGAAACGATAGTTCCCCGGAACCAGCAACCTTGGAGGGACCCGGCAGCGAGTGGCTTTCCGCAGGACTCCCTGAAAAGCCCCCCGGCCCCAGACCACAGTAGACACCTCACGGGACTCAGGAACAGGACTTGGAGAAGCCTGGGAACGTCTCGGCGGAAGGCAGCCCCGGTAGTCGTGAGAAAGAAGGGTCCTGGAGGAAAGGGAAGGAGGAAGTCGCCAGTCGGCGACCACTCACCCCAGTACACACCCACCCCACCCGCCGAGCCTGGAACCGCTGAGCGCCTCTGGGGGCGCTCGTTCCTTGGCGCCTTCTCCCGCATGTCCCAGCGCCGCTGGGCTACCGGCCAGACTGGTGGGGTCCCCGGGACTGTTCAAACCAGGCATGGTCGTCCAGTGGCCCCTCTGTCTGCATCAGTGTAAAAACTGGGGTTAGTCGGTACAGGGGGACTCAGCTCAGGGTCCCCCGAGGTCCAGGACGAGGGGAGGACGGCGGGCACAGCGCCCAGGGATTGGAAAGGCGGCTCCCACTGGGGCCCCTCCGGAGGTAGTGCCCGGTGACTCGCATCCTCCTGGAAGACCCGGGGCTAGCAGAGCCTGGGAGGCACTCGGGAGAGGCTAGAGCCAGGGGCGGCGGGCCGGGGCTGTACTCAGTCCCGGGCGAGCGCCCGCGGAGGCGGCGGTGGCAACGCCGGGAGGGCATGCCGCGCCACCGGAGCTCCTGTCGGGCGCAGGCTTCCCTGGCGCAGGCTGCGCGTGGTTGCTGCTACTCCCATTGCTGCTGCGGACTCCCATGGCGGCTCCGCCCGACCGGGGCCGCCGCCGCTGTCGCCAGCCTCGGGCTGAATGAATGAGTCGGAGAGGCGGAGCCCGGCTGCCCGCGACCGCGCTCACCGGCCCGGGACGCTTCCGTATGGCCCGCGAGCAGCCGGCGTCCGCGGCGGTGGCGGCAGCCAGGCAGCCCGGAGGCGACCGGAGTGGCGATCGGGCACTGCATGGGCCAGGGGTTGCCCGCAGGGGGCGGCCGTCACTGAGTCGCACTAAATTGCACGGGCTGCGGCACATGTGCGCGGGGCGCACGGCGACGGGAGGCTCCTTCCAGCGGCGGGCGCTGTGGGTGCTGGCCTTTTGCACGTCTCTCGGCTTGCTGCTGTCCTGGTCTTCGAACCGTCTGCTCTACTGGCTCAGCTTCCCGTCACACACTCGAGTGCACCGCGAGTGGAGCCGCCAGTTGCCGTTCCCCGCCGTCACCGTGTGCAACAACAACCCGCTGCGCTTCCCGCGCCTCTCCAAGGGGGACCTCTACTACGCGGGCCACTGGCTGGGGCTGCTGCTGCCCAACCGCACGGCGCGCCCGCTGGTCAGCGAGCTGCTGCGGGGCGACGAGCCGCGCCGCCAGTGGTTCCGCAAGCTGGCCGACTTCCGCCTCTTCCTGCCGCCGCGCCACTTCGAGGGCATCAGCGCTGCCTTCATGGACCGCCTGGGCCACCAGCTGGAGGACATGCTGCTCTCCTGCAAGTACCGGGGCGAGCTCTGTGGCCCGCACAACTTCTCCTCAGTGAGTTGCCCTCCGCGCAAACCCGCCCTTTCTGACCCCGCGCTTCCCAGGAGTCCTGAGGCTCTTAGTTGGGCCCCTAGGGACTGGACACCAGGCCCCTGTGAGTGTCACCGTTTCCTGACTGGGTGTCACAGCTCCTCAGTGCCCAGGCAGAACCGCTCTTGAGTCCCTTGAGTCTTCAGGTGGTGGGAAACTTGAGCTTAGCTCTGTCTAGGAAGTCACCTCAATACTTAATACTGTTGGGTCCAGCGTCAGCCCCCGGACTCGTCCCTCTATTATCTATGGCTCCCGCTCTGAATAGGGTTCATGGGTCTCAAAGCTATTGCTCTCTGTCTGGGCTTTAGAGTTGTCTTAAATGGAGGCTTGTTGTCTGTGAGAAGAACAAATACAAAACCTTTCAAAAATAGGCTAACAGGAGAATCCCGCAGAGTTCTTAAGACAGCTTAAGATCCCAAGCAGTTTATGGTTTTAGAGTTCCACACAAAATGCAGGAGGAAACTCCCAGAAGGTTAACGAACACCAAAGTTGTGGCCCCTCTTTGAGGAAGCGGCACCGGTCTGCTGATTTGGAGAAACGCTGTAGAGGAGCTCACCAAAATTGTGGGCCCCTTGGAGGCAGTGGCATCCTTCTGCTGATTTGGGGACTCCGCACCCACCCCATACCACTCCCTGCCACCCCTGTAAGGTGTTAGTGTGGCTCTTCCTGGTTGGAGGAATAGCCTGAAGCTGGGAAAGTTGGGGGGGGGGGGGTCACGAGTGCAAACAGCCAAGGCCAAGAGAAGCTGTGCTAAGGATTTGTGAGCCATTTGCTGCGCGGCTTCCCCCACACTGTGGGTCTGGAGACCGCAGATGTCAGGCAGAAGGTAGCTGCCTTGTGCAGTCTGTCTCAGAAGAGCTCTGGTGCCAGGCCCCAGCTTGGTGCGAGCCCGTCCAGCATTTTCTGTGTAAATGCGCCTCAGGTAGGCTCCGGCTTTTCTACCCGTGCAGGGAAGGTTGGTGTGCGTTCGTGGGCAGAACTGGCAGAATGCGCTCACCTGATGGTTTCGTTGCTGACAAAGCTTTTCCCAGGATGGCAGAGTTGCCACGGTTTCAACAGGTGTTGGATTGATGCCAGTTCGCGGAGGTCTCTGATTGGCTATTCTGGTTATTTCTTGTCTGAGATGCCACCCTCAGCTTCAGTCTTACTCTGTTGATTTTTGCTATCTGAATAAAGAGTAAATCTGAATTATTCCTCTCTTCACATTCCATGTTTGGGGGGGGGGGCTCTTCAGCTGCCCTTCAGACTGTCTCCCACTTGAGACTCGCTGCCTTAGCAAGCAGGGAATCCTGTTAACTTATGCTTCTACAAGGCTTCTTCCAGAACCTCAAGCGTAGTCCATAGAGGCCAATGAATTTGGGCAGCAACTCCTGTGGTCAGTCATTTTTTTGACTGACCACTCGTGAACAACTTCTAGTGCTAGACTGAAGTTCAAGGTTACATCTAAGTATCAGCTCTAAGTTGCCTGACATACAGCCTCTTCAATGCAATTCTGCACTGGACGATTGGTTTTCAAAGCATATTGAATTGCTATCTGACGCCAGGACTCCCTTCCAGTATCACAGCAGACCTGAGCTAGCAATGGCTTTCATTCCTATATTTAAAATGAGGAGTGCACTGCGAAGAGCAGTCTCATGCTGGAAATCGGCAAGTTCAAAGTCTAACTTAGCATGAAGTCACGGGAAACCCTTCCTCTCTGCTCCTGGGCCTACTCCTATTGGAAAAACCTGAGTAAGAATCTTGTCTCCTACCCTGACCACCTCCCCGCAAGTCCCATGCCTTCTCAAAGCTAGGAGAAGGGAAGAGGAGCCTTCCCAGGTGGCTCAGGTGGATACAGTCTAACCTAACTCTGCCTGCTGAAGACACACCACCTGGCTTCAGCCTCCATGGCAGGCATGGGCATGAGTTGTGTGGGGCAGGAAGTAAGGAGCTGAGGATAGCAGGGTCCTTCCACAGGAGCATACTGTTTCTCCCAATCAGAATTTGTCAGCCACACCCACTGAAGGGAAAGTACTAACTTCCATCCCCAAAGGCTTGTGCCCTAGGGATTCAAAGTGACCCTGGTGGACTGTGATTTGGGTTCTGACCTGCATGTTTCTAGCCCTATAAGAAGGCATGATGTAGGTTGTTTTTCCATCTGTAGACTTCAGAAGCTACTTCAGGGGAGTTCGTGACACTGAGCACATCCATCGGGAAGATTTTCCTCTAACTGCCTTTGCCATCCTTGGTGGAGTAGCCCAGTAAAGCAGAAGCTGAGGGCAGGAATTCTTGGGTCACATACATGGCTGCTCAGATCCTGAGTCTATGAGTGTGTGTATGTGTGTGTGAGAGAGAGAGAAGGAAAGAGAGATTTCTTTGGCTTGGAGCCTTTCCATCCCACTAAGCACCACCAAAATAATAACAAATATTATTATTAATAATAATTTATAAATAATAAATATTAATAATAATTAATAATAGCAACAGCCAGCTTTCTTCCCATTCGTCTCTACTTCCCTGTGCATGTCACTGTACCTAAGTCTGTGCTTGCCTCCTCCTTCAGACAAGGGAAGGAATTGTCTAGTTCTACCGCTGTCTCCAGCTCCCAGCACAGAACCTGACACATAGCAGATGCCCAGGAGAAGCTTGGGAAATGAGTGTCTTCATGAGGTATCTGCAGGATCGTCTGTCTTCTTGGGTCTAGGCTGGCTCCTTCTAGCATTGCCGGTGGGTACCTGGCAGCCTGTGGTGTGAGGAGCAGGCCGTTAAGCAGTTACCAGGCACCCAGGATTCCCAGGTTGTCAGATAATAGATAGAGCAACAAGTGAAGGGTGGGGCTTTTACAGGAGGTGGTCTGGCAGTGTGCCAGCTGTCTCTCATTAGTCCCGCGGTCTGCAAACAAACACCAATGGGAGAGAAATTTATTGCCCAGGGCAGTCCGTTGGGTTCATTCTCCAGGCCCATTCTGGGCATGTTCACTGATGGCCCTGGATTTGTTAAACTGGGCAAGGTTTCATCACTCAGCAGTCAGGCAGAGCAGTGCCCGCTTCTGAAAGCCTGTGTTGTTTCCCTGGCATCGGCCATGAACCTCGGCTCTGCACACGCTGGCTCCACTGTAGCTCCTGGCAGTGGAGACAGAAGTCTGGGCAGGAAGCAGAGCTGTGAGGCAGAGCTCTGAGAACCCTGGGGCTTAAAGAGGAAGAGACAGGCCAATGCAGGGCAGGCTCTGCTTCAAGAACACAGGGCCATTGCCCTCTCTGGGAAACAGCATGCTTCAGGGGAAAGTATCAAGCAGACCTGGCCTTGGACTTTAGGTCTGTCCCTTCCTAGCAGTGTTCCCTGGGCAGACACTTTGCTTCTGAGCCTCCAGTAATAAGTTCTCCTTCTCAGATATAGGAGGGATATGTATGTGTGTGTGTGTGTGTATGTATGTATGTACAGTGACTGAATTGTGCCTGGATGACAGTGGATGCTCAGTATTCAGGAGACATTGTTACAATATAGAGAAAGAGTTAGGCACTGTGTACTGTTACCTGGTGGTAAGAGTTACTAAGTATTATCACCATAATTATAATATCTTACCATGACTGCTTAACTGAGGGAGTTGGGTATGTTCATTCATAGTTTAGTCATCGAATCAACCAGTACCTATTATATGTCAACTCTGTGCCAAGGTCTTTTCTAGACATTGGAGATAGAGAATTAAGTAAGGCTTGGTAAATGCCCTTCAGGAACCTGCAGAGTTGCATGGATTAGGATGAAGAGCATTCAATGTGGACTCAGAAGTATCCAGATCAGACTGGTGACCTCTGATGGCTTCCTGGAAGAGGTGACATTTGAGATGAATCTTGAAGACTAAGCAGGAGAGCAAAAGACAAAGAGAATCATGCACAGACAAGAGAGTGCAGGAGGGAGCACAAAGGTGTGAGATTAAGCAGGTGCCTTCTGGGCCCTGGGACCAGTTCAAGGTAGCTGGGGGTGAGGTGGTCCTTGAAAGGTCCCAAGGCAATAGTGTGATTGTGATCGGTACCTGGGGGCCCAGCTAAAGTTTTGAAATTTGCAGTAAAATTCTGACGTGTTTTTCATTTGGCTGTTAACGCTGTTGTACCTGTGTCCCGGTACCTACCTTCAGCCCTCATTTCTATGTCCACTGGGGCTATTTCCATTCATACCCACCTCCATGTTATCCCCCTATCTGTAGGAGCTAACCTTTAGTTCAGTTTTGGACCATTCGTACATGCTATAAGCCAAGGAAACAACATTTAGTTTTTTTTAGCACATTTTGCCACATCAAGCCAACGGTCTGTTATGAGCCAGCAATAGGAAACAAGAAATGATTTCAGTAACATATTGTTTGAAATCAGCAAATTCTGTTGAAATGCTGCTAGGCCAGGCAGTCTAGTGGCTGTGAGGATAGATAGCTTTAGGGAGGGAGTCGAGAAAAAAAAATACTTCTGTCTTTATAGAAAGAGGAATAAACGGGCTACTACATGTAAAGTGCTTAGACCAGTTTCTGGCATCAAGCAAGCATTCAATAAATGGGAGCCGTTTCCATTTTTATTACTTGCATGACCATTTACAGTGAAGGGCAAAGGCAGATAGCATCGGGCATCTCTGACAGGCCAGACCCTGGCTGGCTTGTTGCATGTCATCTTCACAGTAACCCTGGACAGTCTGTGATAATCCGTGCTTTATAAATGGAGGAAATGTCACCCTGAGAGGATGTGCAATGTGTTTCAAGTCAAGAGCCAGAGGGTAGTAAGGCCAAGTCAAACCCAAGTTGCCATGACTGCAGGAGCCCACACGCTCTTTGCAGCTCGATGAGAAGGGAGCAGCATTGAGGAGGGGACAGGGGACATTCTGTAGAAAGACCAGTCCAGCCTCAACTTAGCCCTGGCCAGCTGCGTATCTTTGGCCTCAGGACTCTCTTCTGCAATCATAGGATATGAGCCAAATGGCCAGTGGGACTTAGCAACAGAGTTCTC